TATGCTACCAGTTACTGCATCAGGAGAAAACCTACAAAACAGGCACAAAAATAAAACACAGATGTCATAACCTTCAATCCCCCTCAATCTCATACCTAATCATGCATGCATAACATTGATTCCCCTTGACTATTGCCAGGGTGCCCTATCTCTGTTATGGGTTGTGCAAAGGTGTTCTCCTCCTACTAATCATAAAAACTGAATATTGAAAGCATCACTGTGATTAAGGTACTGCTAAGGCTGCATATTTTCCATGCACTTAAAAAGTAAGTTCATAGAGACAGCAACCAAGCTAGAGCACATTGATATGTTTGGCACATTGATTCTCCTCCTCGGATCTCGTATTGGTGGGAGTGTCATTCCATTGAGGTCAACAAACAGATTGATTTAATGAAAGATAAATGCTAGAGCAGTTGTATGGAACCTGCCAATGCAAGGAAAAATTGCTGAAATGCTACAATTATGTCGATATATTAGATATTCTACCACTAAAATTGGAAGAATCTATGACAGCGTTACAAGAAAAACCTGCTTTGCAATTTCATAGATTAGCTTCTCCAGTGGAAGAGAGAGATATATGTATGACTAAGTTCCAATGAGATCTGGACAAACACATACACACAACTAAGCATCATGAGCAGGACCATAATGTAGGTTGTAGAGAGAGCTCATAAATCACAAAGCAATTCTAGATATAGGTGAAACATGACCAACTAAGCTTTGAAGAGATTAAGGAGGATGGGTGTTGAAGTACAACATTACCTTTTATCTTGTGAACTTTCTATATTTTCCTTAGAAGCTGATGAGGTTTTCTTTGCCAGAGCATCCACAATGGAATACATAGATTAACTTGAATAAGAGTCATTCCTCCACCAAGTACACAAGGAATTAGATCATTTACCACAGGAGATGTTTGCATGAGCCATTTAACTGTAACATTTGTTGAATATAAGAACCAAGATGAAAACAATAACAAAGGAATTAGTCTTCTATGTCAATGCCTAAGAATGAATGTTTTCTCTTGAACAAGCATCAGAATTTTATCTGCATGCTTCCATTCACTGAAGTACTACATAGATTGTTTTCTCTTGAACAAGCATCACAACTTTATCTGCATGCTTCCATTCACTGAAGTACTTCATAAACATAAGAACTAGGTTTCAAAGTGAAAGCCACAAACTTGTGATCTGCGAAGGCCCCAATCTAATAATGAGAGCAACACAGATGTAGTAATCGGATTGTAGGATCCCATTAAGGATTAGCATAACTTCTGAGACTACTCATGTGTCTGCTTAAAGCTGGTCGAATGATAAGAATACCTCATTTACACTTTTTAAGTATAGAAGATTAGCCAATTAGCTGAAATATTCAGAACCAAAAGGAATAAGCAAAATAAAACATATGGAAAAATGCATCTTGTGTTTGATTTGGATTAGGTGAGGAGTATTTCTCCACTATTCTCGAACATAGGTAAGCTTTTCCATGGATATCTTTGTTATCATCCTTCATTGTTAGAAAAACATGCTCTTTATATTTTACAATCAATGTTATGATCACAGCTCCTCCTCTAAGAATTCGTTCACCATTCTAATCCTCCTCTAACTATCTATTGATCACTATTTTATCACTGTATTCCTTAGTCTATCATATCAGATTCAAGATCCTGTTTGCACTGCAACATTCTCATTCCTGCATCTTCTTTCTACGCTTGATCCATGTCAATCTGATGAACACTTGCCAATCTTTTTGTAAAGCATTAAGTCATGACTCATCCTTAATCCCATGCAGACGAGATTCTCTCCTCTGTCTCACCATTGAATCTCATGGAGTTTTATCCAATGCTGACAGATCTGGCTATCGTTCTTGGATTTGTATTCATCTCTCTCTCTCTCTCTCTCTCTCTCTCACACACACACACACACACATGTGGAGTGAATTGTAGCCATTTTGAAGTTTGGGCCACATACTAATCTCACCGAGTAGCCCCATCTCCTGGTCAACCCATTCAGTACTGGGAAAACAGTCGGATGCACTCAATATCCTGCATGCAATAATGGATGCTTCCACAGACTGTTCATGTCAAAACCAATCCTCTCTCATGTATTATTGTGACTGAAGAGTGGAAGCAATGGTGAGGGTGTATTATTGATGTTGACTTTGTATGATGTATATGGCAGCATGTAGAATGAAGAACAGAAATTATGTTCACATATATGGCTTTTAAAGATACTTGTTTCGATTTTGAGGAAGAGGTCAAGTTTACCTCAAGAATTAGATTTCAAAGTTCTTATTAGATGCACACTTTAGCTTCCACACAAGTTGATTACATGAATCATTCGTGTTCTACTTGCATTGATCTGTATACTGTGACTTGATTCAAATTAAAAGGCCCTATTTCTGAGTCTCAACAAAAAGTAATGCTGCACTTCCTACATTCCTGTCCAAAGTCAAATGTGAAGACCAAAGACCACCAAGTGCTGCTATCCCTCGCTTATGGCTTAGTGGATGACCAAGGTAAGTGGTTGCATAACCCACACATCTCCTCGAACAGGAGCCTGAATCCTTTTGACTTCCTTCATGGAGGCTACAAGTCCACCATGCTGAGCCTTATCTCCACAAAAGCACTTCCATATGACCCTTTTTGTTTTGTGGCCTCTGGCTCCTGGTTCATCCAAAGTCTATTACAGTTGGCCATCTTCTGCAGTGCCCACAGGGGTTGGGGTTCATATCAAACAACACAATTATATATCAAGCTATTCTTCTTTCGCTATCAACAAATTGGCCCGCTTCCACTGCCTGAGACACCCCTCGCACTTTCAACTTGTATATAAGCAGCCATTGCCTGACGACCGTCATATCCACTTCGGTCTCTTCTTTGATCTCTCTACCTCTCCTTCTCATTCCATTCGCTTCGTTATGTCTAATTGCAGTGAGCTCTCTCACCTCAGATGTGAGATAAAGGTTGATAGACTGTCAAACTTCGATCTTGATCTCCCGGGCAACCTGAGCATCAGATACTTTGTGGTGGCAGGAACCGGGAGAAGAATTCGCGTCGACACGCGTGAGGTCCCTCCGACAGGCAACCCGCGTTGGGAGGAGATCTCCACCATCGAGTGCCAGGGCGCCGCCGACCCCGTAGGAGAACTGCTCGAGCCGCACACGGTGGTGTTCGAGCTTCGTTGGAGGAGGAGAAGGGGTAGAGCTTCGGTTCTTGGAGGGTTCGCGGGGTCGAAGCTCTTGGGAAGAGCTGAGGTGGCGTGGAAGGAGGTGGTGGCCTCGCCGGACATGGCGTCGAAGAGATGCGTCAGATTTGCTGCTGTGAGTTCCGAGCTTTGCGGGCTTGAACCTCCGAGCCTGTCAGTGGAGATGAAGGCCGAAGTCACAGAAGCACCGAAGACGCAGAGGATTGGCCAGAGTTTGGCCATGGAGGGGCGTGGTTGCACGAGCTGTGATTGGGATGGAAGCGAGGAGGAGATCTTTCTTGCTGCAGCAACACTCAATGCTTGGTAGATGTTCACACGCAGAGCTACCATGAGTGCGGGACTCAAGCTTTGAGCTGACCGACCGCTTTGCATGCGCTCGAAGTCATTCGTCAAACCTTGTCGCTTACACTAATGTAGTGTTCTGGTATTTAATGTTCGTGCATCGTTTGACCGGTGAGTTCCATTGAAATCCATGCAATTTCCACATAAAAGTTGACCACTGTATCCTTGGTCAAAATAGCAAAGGGAAGGTCGTCGGTGGTGCGTGACTTCTATTTGGAATCCATTCAATTGCCACATCAGAGTTGACTTATGAAATGGACCCTACGTAGAGACATACAGGAATTGAATTTAAAATCTTATAATAAATTATTAAGATTTTTACCAACTAAATTAACTGTTACTTTTTTTTTTCATGGCAATAATTAAATATGTCAGATAGATTTTCAACCCTTAATTTTTGGTAAAAGCAATTGATATATTACAATTAGACTAATATTTAAGGTATAAAAATATATCAAATAAAATTTTTAATTTTTCATGAAGAACATCGACTTACAAATTTATTGGCCAAGTTTACAAGAAATAGGCATATATAATTATATTTGTATTGAGAATCTAAGCTAGAATTTTTGGTTCACCCGAATGCAACCCTTTTCTTATTATTAAGGTAAGTCAAGATGAATTTATATAATGAGGACGAATGAGAGTGTTAAATTAATTTTCTCACGGATGACCAATGTTTTGCTCTCCAATCAAAATCCATCTTTCTTTTGCAAAAAGGAATAAATAAAAGGAAGTTGAAATTGAAGCACACAGCAAAAGTATAATGGAAAAACTAATTATGATTCATCCCTCTAAATTTAGATCTAACTTAAATATCCCCAAAAACATTAAAAAAAAAAAACTTACCCATACAACTTTTGGTAATCTCCATAAACTGACAAACTTTGAACATTAATTTAATCATTTTATATTAGTATATTGTTTTGATATTGGTAACCTTGTATTGTTTGGATTGATAGTAACACAGGAGAGATGTTCACGAAGAATCTTAAAATTTATAAGGATAAAATTCCCTCCTGTGTTACCATCACAAACATGTGTGCCTTTTGTGTGAACAAATTTGACAAAAGTACAAATTACCATCTTAAAAGAATAGCTTCCAATCAAGACAGGAAAAAAATGAAAACCTAATAGCTAAGCAGCATCTTCAAGTGCTTTCTGAACCTATAAGAGTGACTTCATGGCGGAAGATGTCTCAAGTCTTACCTCCTCTATTCGTATGGAAGGTGAAACGTGCTCCAGAAATGGCTTCATCAACGGGTACATCTGCCGGGCTGCAGGATCAATTAGACAACTACTAGGAATATATGCATGCTGCTGCTCGCTGCATTTTCACTCTGTATTCACCTTTAACAACCCCAGCAAAAATTAAGAGGAAACCAAGCACCTATCAGACCCCATGAAATGGCACTATTCTGTCCCTACAGAAGCTTTTAAAGATCAGCCGCAAACTGAAGTCAAGAAACTGGTTCAAATTATCCCATTAAATTAAAAAAGGGGTGAACGGTTGGCTACACCCAGAAACTCAGATGACCTAAATGTATCTTTCTTGTCTGTGCATGCTGTAGAAAGTTATGTCACACTTGGTTGTCGTTTCAGTAGACTTACAACATTGGAGTTCTTATGAGCAGATTATACATTTGGTCCATTTATAGACTCTTCAACTCTCGGTTGTGGAACTCTGAATTTCAGTGTAGGTGCCACTATGCTCATCAAATGTGTACCTGAACAAAAAAAAAAACTATTTTTTAATAGAAAGCTTGAGAAATACTCTAAATGGAACAGATTATAGGAACAACTAGGATAATAAAGGGAAAAAAAATTCAAAGTCATACAATTCTGCTGATATAACAATGACCAATGAATTGCTTCGCTACATGAAAATCATTGCAAAGAACAAAATAACCTTACGCTCCGAAAAGCAGTATAACAGTATTTATAAACTTGATTAACTCAAGGTTTGCCGTACCATGGTGTACCGCTCAGTACGGGCGGTATATATTGGTCCAACAGGAGATTGGTACGAGCGATACATCAGTATGTCCCTATGTACTATGTGTTGGTATGTTCGATATAGCTCAGTATAACTCGAAACGTACCATACTGATGGTTGGTCGATACGTCGATACGGACCGATAACGCGAACCATGGATTAACCACAAAGGTTAATCATTCTATGTTATATTATTAAAATATGATCCACGCAGGTAACTTGGTCCCATGGTTATTTGTGTTGTCACCAAGGAGACAACAATGGTGGTGATGGTGGTAAGGTCAATGATAAGAATAACAAAGAAGAAAAGAAAAAAGATAATAGGTGTGGAAGAATTAAAAACTAAATAAATGGTGTATTTCACGACTACTAGTGTTAACTTAATTTTAGGCATAAATACCATGTCCCTGTTGCACCACAGCAGTACATTCCCGAAGTAGGATCATAATAATAGCCCAAGCTGCTGCTGTAATAGTAACTGCAAGGAAGCAGGCAAAATAGGAAGTTATTAACTATTACAGCAAAGAAGCAGGCAAAATAAGAATTTATCAAAATCAAGATATCTGACGAAACTAGAGGCATACTAGTAAAGCCACTTCAAACTGGAAAAAACATCAGATTGTTAAGGTAAAAGGTAATTATTCAATGAAGTTAATGAACACAACAAAATCGAGTCCAAAGATACAGAATAACTGGATGTGTGCTTCAAGATTCAAAATTCTAGTTTACACACTACAAGATCAAACAATGAAGACAATAATAAAATTTGTTGGTCTAAAATCCCAACCTTTGACCAAAATTAGAAGATATGACCTAGTGCAGGAGATGGTTTCTCAAACAAAAACAAATAACAAACATAGTAAAGCATTCGCTGTGAAGAATTTTGTGCTTAGTTTAAACAACACAATTTAACAGCAAAAAGTACACTGCCTTCTTTTTCCTTCCTCAGCACTCCATTTTAACATGCCTACTTTTACATCACAGAAAAAGAATAAACAAGAAATGACCCTGTAGATTAAATTGATTAATAAGAAAAAATATACATATTTGCCATCCAATTTATCCAGAAGAATTTCCGTTGAGTCAGTCAAAGATTGATTTGACATCAAAAAATAAAAACTGGAGAATGAGATGCTAGGACTCCTTAATTTTTTCAACAAAGATGGCTGAACTGCTTACCCGGATGTTTCGTCAAATACATAATCATTTCCATCCCCTCCATGACTGACAGCTGCACGGGAATCAAACTTTAGAAGAAAATCACTTACATGGAAGGCCGTAGCCACCTAGTTAAGGGAGGGCATTCATTGACACATTAAAAAAAAAAAAACCTCCAGAGCCCAGGTCTTGGGAAGAACCCAAGCTTCCTGAAGTAGGTTGATCAGCCTGCTCAGCACTGGGGACAGGTAGATTCTCGTTGGCATTTTCTTCATCCCCAAACATGTCAATTTTGTCACCACTATCATCGGGTGATGCTTGTTGAACAGAGACATTAACTGCCGAAGGTCTAGGATGTATGTCCCATATCTCTGATTTTTGTTCTCCATGTTGCATACCATCAGAAAATATATCCTCCGCACAATCTGATTCAGAAATGATGCCTTTTGTACCAGTCGTATCAGCTTTTGCACGAGTTAATCGCTCATATCCTTCTGTAATAGATTAAATTTTACAAGTTCATAATTACTTCCTGAGATAGTAGTATAGTACATGGAAGATGAAAAAGATAATCAGTTGAATAATTGCTAAGAAAATCCATGTTCAACATAACAAATATGGTATCCTACATTTAGATGTCCAACTTAAGGAGTTATTAGAAATAAAAAGTAGCACTAAGGAAAGACAGTGGAACTAAGAACAATATAGCTGCAAAACATCACCTACTCATAGCAAAGCAAGCCACTCCTTTATAGTTCTACATATGGACACTCACAGCAGAATATCATACACCGAAATGCAGTTAGTGCAGCCATGCAACCACATGCATACATAGAACAGCTGGCCACATGTGCAGATCTGGTCATGTGACCACACACATAGGTCTTTAGTCAGGTTAGCAGAAAAAAAGCATGATCTACCATCTAAGTTAACAACCGATCAATCCTTCTTGACCTACCATCTTCTTTTGACATAATAATGTGCCATGACATTGAACTTCTTTGTTTCAACAATTCCATATTCAAGTAACATAAAAGATAGACTAACAGGTGCCAACAGTTGACTGCAGAGCATGCACCATTAAATATATAGGTTATTATGCATTAACATAAAAACGATATAATTTTATAATCAAGTGGATCAATCTTTTCCTCAGGTGTAAATGACCACTATGATATAAAGTAGGTTTTGTAGAAAGTTACCCATTTAGAGGCTCAACATACCCCGAGGAACAACACGAAACAGATAAGGAATCATTTATCACAAACAAGAAACACATTCTGATCAGTTCTCACAACCAAGATACCTTCTCCATAGAAATTAACAGATGGTAAAAACATTACCTTTGGAGCATGATAGGTGACACGATCCTAGTAAATAAGGCTAATAAAAAATGGAACTCACTGAACTATGTTAAGCCCCCACTCATCTAGACTCTTTCTACATGCATTAAAGAGTTTGAAAAGATGACTCCAGTTCAAAAGCGATTTCTTCTTGTCATTATATTTGCCTCGGTGACTCAAAAATTATTAGTGTAATGCAAAAACCAGTTTTATGTTGCTTGATTTTCATTCATCTTCTCATCATTTGAAGTAGTCTCCAGCTATAGCATGTAATGACCTGAAGTGTTCAATGGTGATAATGTTTTAAGCCCAAAAAACTGACAATTTGCCATCATAAACCATAATACGAGCTATGGAGGAAGGAATGGTTGAGTCCTAGTCATAGAGTTTGTCTTTCAACTAGTGTATAAGATTGTTTAACCTATAAAAAGGATATAAGCCAAACTGATAAAGATAATATAACAAAGCAAAGAAACAAAGAGAAAAATATTCTGTGGTACACGATAGGAGGAGAAAAATGAAGCATAAAACTAAAGTCTATGAAAGTGAAAGATGAGTCATAATTTGTGAGCAACAAACTTCTATCAGAAAAGTCACTCCATTCTAATACTGTGACAGAAAAAATAGTCTCAGACTCAAGAATGAGTTTTAAAAAAAAGGATAACATATAAAGTTCTGTAGGTTTTTATGGCCTGTACTCTCTTTTACTTCTTAAGATTGCATATAAAGTTGCTAACAGTAGATATATCCCATACATAATATTCAAGTTACCAAAACACCTGCTCATATATATGATAGAGAAAGGCCGCTCAAGGTATGGTTTTAAAATGCAGAAAAAGGATTCAGTAAACAGAACGATCGTATAAATCTTCTGGGAAGCAGAAGAATGAAAGCCTATGCAATTTCAAGTTCGTCAGTACTCAGTAGCTACAATAAATTATCATCGCCAAAGACAGACATATAGCAGATAAATGCTACATCACTCCTGTACTTGGATAGCGAAGGTTGCTAATCAGAAATACTGTTGCAAACTGAAAGATAAGCATCAATATGATTGAAACTACTCACCATCTTTGAACATAACAAGCAACAAAAGCAAAAAAATCATTATGATAAGTACAGATTTTGAAATAAGGTATTAACAGTACATCAAGAGCAGAAGAATAAACTTGAGCACCAAAAATTGACATAAAAACAGACACAAACAAAAGAGAGGTCTCAAGAAGCATATTTATGCCTGTCGGATATATAGGAAAGTCCGACTTGCTATTATGGTCTACAGGTTACTCTATGTATTTATCTGTAAATAATTAAGTGTATACTTCTCAAAAAAATTAGAAGAAACGACACATCCACCTGCTTCCCGCGCAAAGGTCTCCTGTTCTTCATAGTAAACATCTGGAAACCAAACAAAGGAAAAAAAGTTAGTTATATTGAAGTATTGAACAACTGGGCAAATCATTTCACCATCTTATCAAAAGCATTTGAGCCTTCCAATCAGGAAACTCTTCAAGAGAAAATAGAGATGTTAGAGCACAACAACAGCACAATAACCTCAAGTGGTTGTAAATGACCTAGCTTATCTAGTTTGCTTCCTTAATAGGAAACATGCATTAAGACCACTTGAAAAGAAAAAAAAAAGATCCCACCTCATCAAAGAGCAAACACCTTAGTGCATAATGAGGATAACCTACTACAGTGTGACTCAAGGATTACCGTTCCAATCAGAACATATCAACACAGGTCAAATGACCAGCCAACTTTTGGTCTGTATCAAACACAACAGGGGGCACGCAATGGTCTGTCTCAAACAGAACAGGAGGCGTGCCAATTGGCATGACGGGCCAGAAAATGATCAGCATAACCCCATGATACAAGATGGCAATCCTTCTTCAACCAACCAATAATTATATAAATATATAGTTTGATGACATGTAATTACACTCAACTGTAATCTCCATTCTCCATGAGTTTCATGGCATCTTCAGTGAGTTGATCAAATATCTGTTTTGTGGCATCCAACATCTTTGCTTTCTTGTCGGTGGAAGTTCCTTTCAACCTTTTCAAAGCTTGTATTATCTGAAATAGAAGACGGCAAAAATTAGAAAAGCATCAGACTCAGTAACGTAATAAAACTGCAAATATCCTAGTATTATCTCTCTGCTTGAAGGCCACTGTTCGATGGAAGTATTTCAGTATATAAATAATTAATTAAGCGGTTAGATTCCTTTTTTATTTTTGTGATCTAAACAGAACTCAAATGCTTTCTCATCCACATTAGAACCTCATGAAACAATTGTGAAACAGCAAAAGTCAGATATTTAATTGCAGATAAGAATGCCACAGAAGAAGTTGAATAAGAATGTTCACAGAAATCATGTTGTTACTAGTTTGTCTAAGAAACTGTTTGCAGCATCAAATTTGAGATGGATCAAAGGACTGGCATGTCAGATCTGTCATGTTTGCTAGCAAGTGTCAAGATCTAATTGGTGCCATTAGGATATGTGCCTGGCCTACGGACAGCATGCTTTGTCCCTATATGTAGTGGAAAGAGCCATGCCATAATACCTTGCATCTATTCTGAACTGTCCCGACATGTGGACATGCTGGTCCATAAGGCATCCTCGACTCTCGACGTGGCCATCTTGGGTGACGAAGCATCATCAACTTTCATCGTGACCTTGTCAAGCCACAAAGCATCCTCAACTCCCAATATTGGGCAAACGTCATCAACTTTCAACACGATGATGTCAAGCCACAAAGCATCCTCAACTCCCGATGCTGCCATGTTGGGCCATGAAGCGTCATCAACTTTCGATGCGGCTATCTTGGACTATAAAAAAATCACCAACCTTTCAGTTTGGTCAAGTCAAACCATGAAGAGTCATCTATCTTTGATACGGCCATGTTGGTATGTCACATCAACTCAATCCTTGAAGTGTACAGTGCACTCTGACACACTTTGCTCCTTGGAGTGCAATGGGGGCAAATGATAGTAGGTAATATGACGTGGAGAGCCAACCCGATCAACATCCACATCTCCCTCCTCATCAGCACCTGATCAACATCTATGCCATCAGCCGCATCATCATTAAAACCCTAGAGACCCGGTTTCCTGTTCTAACTTAATGGATTTGGTTTGGACAATGCTTCCACATACATTTAGGGCTCTCCATAAATAGGGGCTCTCAGGTATGCGAGGCTCTCTCTGTGAAATTCAAAGAAATAAACACACATTTATTCTACTTCCAATCTCAGATAGCCAACAAACTTGACTGTTGTGTATATGCCCCCAACAATAAGTTTTAGCAGATCAGATACCCGAGCCACTCACTAGACCACCAGACACCTCCACATCAACAAGCGTAATTCTCAAGTGAACCAAGTGTGGATTGGGGCATGACTGGATTAACTTCACCATGTGGAGCGCACAACCACATTTGATTTTTAACAAGCTAGCAAGTGTCATGATCTAATTGGTGCCATTAGGATGTGTGTGGCCTATAGACAACATGATTTCTCCCTATGTGTCATACTGGAAAGGAACTATGCCATAATACCTTGAGTCTATTCTGAATTGTCCACAGTAATTAGTAATCATCAACAGTAGTATTATTTTAGGTACCTAGATGAAGGAAAAATAAGTGTATAATCAGTCGACTACCTAGTTTAATCAGCTAAATTTACTCCTGAAATACCAGCTGCATATTGATTATTGACACAAGTTGGGGGGTCTAAGATTAAATAATATATGAGGGCAAGTACTGAAGAATTACTATTTATTCAAGGTAACATGTAATTGTATACAGAAGCAACCACATGGATTCTATATAAAAGGGGTTCTTAAAGGTAAATGGGGACAGAGAACCTACATAACTAAAACCTTAAAATATGATCATAAGTGAATCTTAGATTCCACAGGACAACTAGCAAGTCAGATATGCATTGATCAAGATAACAACTAACAAAGTTACACCAATAGATTGAAAGACATTTCTGTTTTCAGACTCCCTATCCAGTTGTAACAACTATTACAAAGCCAATATCAAAAGCCTCACGAAATCAGTTCATTGCTTCTGTATTTTGGTACCGAAAGAGTTCAACCGAGACAAATCCAATAAGCAAGTTGAATACAAATTAAGACTTGATAAGACAAGCACTAGACGTTTTCAGCAATCATTCATCATAATAAACTGCAAAAGAATAAAGTCAACAAAAATAATAATTCATAAGTCTTGAAGTTACCGTTTCTCCTGGCTGAAGTGCATCAGCTATTCTTCTTTTTATTTTCCCTATATCATCTGAAGAAAGATCCTCATATACCTCCTCTGCAGTACTTTTTGGCTGAAACTTTCCCACAAATCTTGTATCAACTTCAACATTATCTAGCCATGCATCCTGGATCGACCGGAAATAAATGTCAAGTGTACATCTCACATTGCACGACTATACATATATATACATACATATATATGTGTATCTACACGCGTGCGCGCGAGTGTGTGTGATAATAGAAGTGGTGGGAGAAAGAAGGGAGAAGAAGAGAAAGGATGGGAAAGAATAGATGGAAAGGGAAGAAAAGGACAAAGAGGAAAAGCAGGGGGAACACCTTAATTTCATTTTGTCTAGTGTATTCAACAAAATTTCCATTTGCATCAAAGTAACCTTCTTCTCTCTCTTGCTTCAAATTAAATGGTTCTATTTGAATCCCATCATCCTCAAAGTTGACATTATCCTGCTACATAATCACCATTAGCTATTAGTTGTCTATGTATAAAATTAGCAGTGATACTGTCATATAACGTTGATGAGTAATAAAAGAATATTCATAATTACATATATGATGAAAAATGACAATAAAGTGAGAAAATTAAACAGATCATAGTAGACCCAAGCAATAGTCTCAAATGCTTTCATTCTGAGAAAAATGCTGAAGATAATGTGACCCAGAAATACAGACAAAATAAAACAATGGTAGTTTGAGTATCTGGTGCTAACATCTTAAGGAAACAAAACATATTAGCCAGCACATAACAAGTGAAATTCTTAGTTGAGAATTTTTGGAAAAGTAATGAAATACAAGTGTATATCAAAACAACAAGTTTTACCCAATGTATCTTCAACGAGGTGTGTATCAAGTATTAACTAATACAAAAGGCTTTCCATATTGAGTTCGGCTAGAATTCTGAATACTCTTGAATAGACATTGTGGGTGGACAAAGCAGAAGTGCAGAAGCATGTCATTGCCCACCCACCATCGCACTGCCAGCCACACCCTGCCCCCATCTGGTACTCCTCCCTCCTCCTCTTCTCCTTCTCCATCTCTACCTCCTCTTGCCCGTCTTCTTCTCCTCGCCCCTCCCCTCTTGGTACTATGATGCATGCCGACATACTATTCCATTGGTTAAAAACAAAACTTATGATTATGAACGCTCCAAACCAAAGGAAGAGAACATATCGATTCACTTGCACCGTTTTTAAGCATCCCAAGCATAGCCATTTTTGTTCAATATTATAGTCATACAAGTCAAGTACTTGGTATGAAATGTAAATAGACATCAGGAACATTTTTTTTGACTGACTAGCAAACCGTCTATATCAATAAAAACATAAAAGTAAAGTTGATTGTTTTTGTTTTGAAAAGTCAAAAGCTCAAAGTTGAGGTGATTAGATTGACACAATTAAAGAAGTTGAACCCTAACAATTCGGAATAAAAATAACTCATATAAATGGTGGTCTAAAATAATCTCTAATTCTACTTGCTAACCAAAAAGGTCATCCTCTAGCAACCAAAGTTAAATTATCATAACTAACCCTGATTAATCGAACCCTGAACCAATTTAAAGGCACCATTAAGACCCACAAAAAACCCATCCTTCGCAGCCCAAGTGTATAATAATACTTAGTATCCCCCTCCACAAAATGAACTTACTAGCAAAAATACTAAATGTGATGAAAGCATCATCCTCATAAAAAATGACGGCAATCGATATCCATACCTCTCCCCGATCCTACAGATTGACAGGAAACAACAAGACACATTTTCAGACAGCCTAATTTCCATAAACGTGATGAAAAAGGCTGCACTACAAACACATGGTCTTTCCTGAAACATGTATCAGATATGAGAGGAAACATATTTTTACCAAAAACCACTACACTTGTACAGCTTTTATTTCATAGATTTAAGTGACGAGGGAAGGTAGAAGCACCTCGTACTGGATTTCGCCGGAGAAGACGTCCACCTGGTCACCTAAGACCTCGTTCTCCCGCGTCTGGTTGCGACGCTTGGCGCGCTCCTTGGCAGCGAGCTGTGGGTCCATCCAGTTGCCGTCTCCGCCGTCCCCATGGAAGGGGAGGTCTTCGCTGCCCCTCTTCGCTTTCTTACCCTTAGGAAACCTAGCCCGCCTCTGCCTGCCATCGCCCCCACATCGGAATCAATCAAGGAACCCTAAAGTTCGCACAAGAAGGAGGAGAGGTTTGGGATAGAAAAAGGAAGGGAGGAGCGTACTCCGGCGGCGGCGAGTCGAATTCGTCTGGGGGAAGCGGTCGCTTCTTGGACGTCTCTGCCATGGGGTATCGATGAGTAGGTTGGCTCAGTCGATCCGATTTGGCCCATATATTTAAATAGCTGTAACGAGTGAACGTTTATGTATACGTATTCGTTCCATTTGGCCCAAATATTTTACCAGGAAAAGCCGCAAATCTATATGATTTGGTAGAAATATACCATCAGACCACTTCATAGCACTCCCTATTCATTTTTACAAATAATACCCAAAAAATTCATAAAGTAATTTAAATTTAAATATATTTTTAGATATATTTTCTGATCTAATTAACTTATTTTAATTTCGAGTGTTATTGTGTCAACTTCCATTAAGTCGATCTAAATAATTAATATTTTTTATTTTGTTTAAAAAAATATAATATTTTAAAAAAAAAATTAAAAAAAAGTAAAACATGTTTATGACCTATTATTATGATTGGGTATGATTTAAGTGATGCTTTCTTAAAAACTTCTTATGGTAATTTGAAATTAAGAAATATTCTCGTCGTTCCCAAACTAAAAAATAATAATTTATATTAGTCAACTTATAAATGATAATGCATGTATTTTTTTATTTGATACTAACAATTTTATGATAAATGGAAGGCCAAAGCCAAATCAGCTTAACCATGGCAATGAGATAAAAGGAGGAAGGCAACTAAATAAATCAATTGATGAGTTTTGAATTATATTACATAACAGAAATATAAGAAAATCATTAGTAATTGGAATTCTTTCTATGCAGCACAAAATAAATACTGGGATTCTTTCCGTGCAACACAAAAAATTGTTTCCTCCTTTATCCATAATGCTCAAATGTAGTAATTTCTGAATATTAGAAACTGTCAATTCTCTTATATATAAAGACTTATATAATATCTTGTTGCAACGTAGAGAATAGGAGTGGAAAGAAACCTTTTTCTTTTTTATTGCTTTGTCTTGTCTTTGTTAGAAAATAAATAGATAAATAAGTTGTAGAAGAAGTTGATTGTTATTAACATATCCCCTTCCTTTTATACAGGTTAGAAGGGAGAATTTTCCTCAACAGGTTAGATGATTTCCCTCGACAGAGTAAGAGATTTCCTCAAACAGTTAGGGAAATCTCATCTACTTATCACGCCCCGCAAGATGGTACTTCGATCACCAATCTTGGACAGATGTAATGCAAAAAGTTTACGAGAGGCTTCATAAATAAGTCGGCCAATTGATCAACCGTATGAACATGAGAAACACGAAGTTGACGGCGGACAACTTGATCGCGTACAAAGTGGGATAGGTATCGATGTTGAGTTCCTAGAGTAGATTCGTGATCCAATTGAGTTCTGCAGTGGTAGCAACAGTGGAGTAGATTCGTGATCCAATTATGCAAGTGGTAGCTTTCTCCTAACTGTTTGAGGAAATCTCATCTACTTATCAGTTTTATGTTCATCTCCCGCTTCAAATTTCAACAGTGCCATTACATCTCTAGTATCTTATTAATTTGGTTAATGATCCTAAGTACATTAGTCAATCTTTTTTATGTTATAAACTCAATTATGTTATTGCTTCAATTCGAGATAGCACAAGTTGTAACTCAAATTTCTGCCCTATTATTTTGTTTCCCATTTGGATAACGAGTTATGACATAAATTTCTTTCACTTAAAAATCTAATTAAATTAGGACAGGGCATAAAATAATAATCTTTTAAATATCTATTAAAATTATAAATAATAAACACTTTTAGTTGGCAGTATACCAATAAAATAGAAGGATTATTTATATCTGGTTTGATGCGTGACTCGTAAATAGTGGAAAATGATAACTGGGAAGCTTTGATCCCATGTTTTCTGAAATGATATACGAGAAGAACACTAAGATAATTCGGATTGTATTTGATTATAGTGTCAGGAAAATTACATTGGATTTTATGATAAATCGACTCATGTTTAATAGCATGTCTAACCGCAGAATAGTTCATTAGTTTCGTCTTACACACCGAAAAATAGAAATCCAGCCGTGCTTTCTCGCATGTTTAGACGGGAATATATGAAGTAAACGGTATGCACGTGTGGAGTGCGCAAATAAATGAAAACATCCGGTTTCGTACGTACCCCACGGCACACCTTATCGCTAATAGGGTCACATGTATGGGTTCTCCCTGAGGCATCCAATGAGAAAGCCGGTAGGCGAGTCAACGACGAGAAGACAGGAAGAGTCTTCCTCTCGAACAAAAATATGACGACGAAACAACATCAAAAAGAAAAAGGAAAACAAAAATAAAGAAAACGTTCAGATCGATCGATCACTGTTTTAACCTTCTTTCTTTCGCTATTCCACCCTCGATCATTTCTTCTCCTACACTCTCTCGCCCGTACGCCGAACGAACGGGAGCCGCGGGAATTCGCTTCGCCCTCGTCATCAGGGACCGTGCCTCAAACCCTAGAAGCTCGAGCCTACTCGTGATCTCTCACCGTGGAGACCCCTTCGTCAACGGAGGCGAGCGGAACGGCGGCCGAGAGGGGGCCGGAGAGGTCGCGTTCCGGTCTTGGTCTAGGGTTCCGGTACCTCACCGGGGTCGCCGGCGGCTGGTGGGACAAGTGGACAGTCATGGGGGCCGCCGGCTCCAAGCTTGAGAAGGCCCTCGGCGACCAGTTCCCTGAAGGCGAGCGCTACTTCGGCCTTGAGAACTTCGGCAACACCTGCTACTGCAACAGCGTCTTGCAGGTTATTGCCTCTACGTCTTCTTTGTTTATTGAACCAAGAGCTCGATCTGAATCTGGGTAACTTGTAGTTCTGTCGAATTAGAGATGAATTCTTTTAAGGGAGGTTTGTTTCTTTTCTTCTTACCGGATCTTATTGTTATGATTATTAATTCAATGTTCTTGTCTGATATGGAAGATGTTTTCATTTGTCAACACTGATATAGGGTGCATCCATATTGTTATATAAGTACTCTCGGTTGAAAAAAAAGATGATCTGTATTTCCTCTTTTCTAGCTCATTTCTTACACCGTATAATGTTTAAGAACATAGCTTTGGTCTGAAGTAAGCGACTTAAATATGTTGGTTATTTTTAAGACACTTTTGTGTTTCTAAATCTATTAGTCGCAGTCTCATTTAATTTACCATTTTGTATTTTTTTGAGAAAAAGGTGGGAATGTCTTGATAAACAAGAAAGAAACTTAGTGCACAAGTATCATTTTTGGCTTTTAAACTTTGAACAGTTCTTTTAACAAAGAAAAAAATGTGTCAGTGTTTGTTTGTCATTTGTCCTCCGACAGTGCAAACCTGTTGATATGCAGGAAAAATACTAGAAAGTCATCATCATTCCTCTTGATAAATCATCAGATATAACCAGGACCTGATTAAACTGTTTATCTTACACGTGGTTAAAGTTCATTAGTCTGATGAATATGATATATAGAAAATGTGGGTAACATAACAAAAATTTAGTTGAAGTACATAGATCTCTTTAATTGTCTAGGAAGGATATTGTAATAAATTCTGGAGTATATTGTACTTAATTTCTTCTAATGTCTTATGATGCTCATTTTCTAGCTAGTTAATCAGAAGTTCCAAATTTTCTTGGAAGTGAGAGATTATGATGGTAAAATGGAATTTTGGCTTTATGATGGGGTTATACATTGTACCTTTGTGGTGGTAAGCCTATGAAATTTTGCTAAGAAATGAGCTTGTAAAGGATGTTCACTTTCGACTCTGCACTTTATTTTCAGATCTTCATAACAACCTTAATCATGATCTATTTTTGAGATCTATAGTTGACCTAGTGCAACATCTTCATCTTTTAGACAGTTATTTTCTTATCCTTGTTCTTTTGAATGTATTTGGCTTCTAATTTTTTTTTATTATAAATTGCAGCTTAAGTTCAAATGTACTCATCTGTAGTATGGGTTTATAGTTTTGCATTTTTTTCCCCTTAAAGAAGTTCATCTTGACATGGATGCAGGAGTTGTTTTTAAACTAGGAGTCTTTTGTGTTTTTTGGTAAGAGATAAGAATATACCAATGATCTTGGATGTACAATGTTGATTTATGCTTGTTGAAACATTGGATTGCCGATTGCAACCATGCTCCTTTGGTGTCTATATCATAGCCTTCTATAAAAGTTATGCTGATATTCCTTTCCTTGATGGCTTAATGCTCATATAATGATGCTGAACTCCTCAAATATTCAATTTATTTCACTGGGTCGTTCTGCATATAAAACATGTATTGTCAAAACCTGTGTGAAAGGAATGAATTGAATGATGGTGTCCTTAAGAAATGAATAGTATTTGCCAGCCCTGTTTATTTGAGTTCAAAATTTTGGGCAGTAAGAAAACAACATACCTAAAAGTTAATCCTATTTAGATGAGGTGTCCACTTCGTTGCGTGGTGGTTACTATAAAGATAAACTACAAAATTTGCATTTTTGTGAACAATTAAGAGTATTTAGATTGATGATAAAATGAGTAAAATTTGTCTAAGGTTTGTTCGGAGACGTCCATTGAGGGACCTTAGAAGTGAGATAATTTGGATTAATGATGACTGGTGCAGAGTAGAGAGAGAGGAGCTTGTAAGATCCATATGTTTGACCCTTTTTTCTCCATGATTGATGGATTAATGGCTTTTAAATTGGCTAGTGATATTAACCTTAGGACCTCAGCAAAGTTACATGGTGGAAAGATCCATATGTTTGACCCTTTTTTCTCCATGATTGACCCAAATAGTTGGGATGTATGATTTGCAATATGTTCGGGAATATGCAAGGTTTGCAGTTTTGGTTATCGGACCTGTGCCAGTAGTCCGTGACTGGACTAGTACAGGTCAGGTTTGTTCCTGCATACCATGTGTTGGTACACTGGAATGTACCATGAACCATTAGGGGAGGGAGAGGACGGAAGGAAGAAGGAAGAGGAAAAAGAGGAAGGAGAAGAAAGAAAAGAGGACGAAGGAAGCCAAAGAAAAGGAAAAGGAAGGGGTTGGGAGGGGAGAGAGGTAGGATGAAGAAGGAAAAAGTTGTTATATACTGGTTTAATTATCTAACAGAACTTCATCATCCGTTGTCATCAGAAT